ATCTGTCTACATCTTTCCTGAAGCCTGGGTTCCACAGCTGGACACAGTACTCTCTGATGAGACCTCATCAGTGCTGAAAAGAGTAGATTTGCAAGTGACACTCCTGTTAATACAACCCAATATGCTATCGGTCTTTTTGCAACAAGACCACACTGTTGATTTATATTCATTTTATGCTTCGTTGTAACCCCCAGGTCCTTCTCTGCAGTACTTCAGCCTAGCCAGTCATTGCCCAGTCTGTACTTATTCATGCAATTGTTCTGTCCATAGTGCATGACTTTGCACCTGTCCTTGTTGAATTTCAACATGTGAATTCCAGATAGCATATCCTTTGAAAAATAGGGCCTTCTAAGGTGTTTCAAGGTAAGCACCCAAAATCAGTAGTGACTTTTGATCCTTATTATTTATGTTAATAGGTGAATCTGAATTTTATGCGTGACACGTACATCCAGATATACTTTATTTCAAATCATTAAATACTTTAAGATCCATGTTTCCTACTTAGAAAATAAAGGAAGATCAAAGCAATTGACTGTGGCATGTCTTTGGTCAGCATATTTTTACATAATGATGCTGTTTAGCTACACAAGAAGAAAGGTGAACCTTGCTATTATCACGGGGCAAGACAGACGCATGCTTTCTCCATGCTAGTTAGCAATGACTTCAGCAGTATCCTGAAAGCTTCTTCATTATCTGCTTAGTTATAAAGCACACCCACAATTTCTAGGTCACTTCAGGAGAATCATTGCATATTGTATCAGCCCATCTGATTTGGTATAGGGACATACATTTCACAGTGCTGTATTGTCCCATCTGTAAAGGACAGCTTATTACTCTTTTTTATTAAATGGAGATCACTGACTTCCTCTTACTGAAAGTCACTGCAATAACTAAAAAAGGAATTTATGTTGACTTTTATTTGTGGACAATATCTTAGCATGAATATTTTCTCCTTTTTTTCTGAAAAGTCCATTAGACTAAAGCTTTAATATGTCCTTAAATAATTCCCAATGCACTTAAATCAGAAGGAAGTTCACTGCACAATACATAAAACTAACTAAAATTGCTCAATAACTCACCATTTGTGTTTCATATTTGAAAAAAATAATGTTCTAGTCAGAATACATATTCTAATTCACCTCTTCGAAACTCATCAAACTACCTTCTTTTATTCTAGAGTAATAATAGGCCTCTGCAGTACTGGACTTCTATTAATAAAAGTAAATGTTCTCATGCATGAAAGACAGAGCAAAGACAGTGTAAGTGAACAAAGGCAATACCCTTAAAAGGAGATAGACACAGTGGACTTCTATGCCCTCAAGGCTTAAAACCTGATTAAAAGCCATTTTACACCAATATTTTCTAGTGGTAGAAAAAGTTGTTTTAATTGGTTAGCTGTATGTTTCACTAACTTAAAGCATGGTTAGTACTGTTTTTAACTGAACGAGATTTTCAATATTAGATAATTTCTGGGTAGATCAATGACTGTGGTTTCCTTTTTGGGGAGGCAAAAACATTGCAGTATTTTATTTTTACTATTTTTCTCTGCATCATGTAGATGGCTCCTACTTCAAGGCTGAAACTCCATGAAACAGAAATCTGGAAATGACAGCTCTGAGAGCTACTAGCAGCAGCTGGAAGGAACCTGCTGTCTTCTATCTCCTTCTTCAGATAGGGTACTGACACTGGCAAGCCCTGGGGTCTATTATTAAGGGTAGACAGTGGAGGCAACAGATGAAAGAGCATTGGAATAGGAGCCGAGTGAGAGCAGGAAGATGAAACATTTCAGCTGGAAGTGGGATTAAGAGACGGGCTGTCCAGGGAGAAGTTGGGCAAAGAAATAGGGCTGAAGTCATGCTGCTCCCTCCTGTTTTCCACAGCTGAGTCAGTAAAATTAAAAATAAAACAGCCAACTTCAACTCAAATGTGTAAAAATAGAATGCAAATATAGACATGTTACATTTGATATCAATTGTTCTACTGGAAAAGACCACAGAACCTACCCATATAGTATTCTGGCTCCAGCAGTGGCCTAAATCCTGTTATTTCATAGAAAAACAAAAAGCCCCTACTTCTACTAGGAAATCTTCCTGGCCCCATCAATGCATGCCCTGAAGCATGAGGTTTGATGCGCTAATTAGGATCCAAATGACAAACAATACAATTACTAGAGACACTATTTAATTCATGTAAACATATAATCCGTGTAGCATCCTTATTAGGATACTTGCCTCAACAACATCCTGTGCCAATGAGTTCCACAGAGTAATTATATATTGCATAAAACATTACTTAACATGTTGCCTTTTAATTTCACTGAACATCCTCTTGTTCTTTTTGTAATGGGACAGAATAAAAGGAAGTGCCTCTCTCATGGGACATATGTAATTATGAAAATACACTTAAAAGGAAAATATCTCTGCTCTGTTGTCAAGTAATAAAACAATGGTGCCTTTTGCAGTTGGTTAAAAAAACCAAAGGAATTGTATGACTTTAACATTCCATATTACTGTCAAAAAGAAAAACATTTAGCAAAATATTTGCTTTCATTCTTGTTCACTGTTTATTTTTTTAATTTACATCATTGACTGTTTGCAAAATTTCCAGGGAAATAATTTTATATAGTTTTTTTTTTTTACTGCATAGGAAGTACAGCCTTCTTAGTATTCCAGAATCATAGTATTATATAAATTTGGGGGCCTGCATCTCCTCCCAAATAAAGTTAATAGGAAAACACAAACAGATGTTTTCTAGGGTCAGGCCCTGCAATTTTTTAAATCCTTATTTGAAAATTACCTAGCTATAATTTTCAGAACTTACTACATCTACTACTATAACTGTATTTACAACTTAAGTTATTTATATGTACTTTATTACAATATGTAATATCAATGTTCCTTGTAAAGGTTACTATTTTATAGAAATTAGACTGAAGTTATTGCCAATCAACCTTTTAGCAAACTTAGTGGGATGTTTCAGAATTTTTCTCAATATATAATTTACTTTTTATTCCATTTGCTATTGCAGAGAATTGTTTTAGCTGTCTTAATTTCAAAACCTTTTTCAGTGTAATAAAAAAGTATTTTTGGTAGAAGTCTCTTGGTCCCATTTCAAATTATGTTCTGAAATATTCTTATACTGATGAGGAGTCATTATTGTAGTGATTTTTTCTGTTTCAACACAGTATATTAAGCCATGCCTCTCAACCAATCAACCTCAGTATAAAGTGTAAATGAGGTCAAACAGATTGCTCACTAAATCTTTGATCAAGTTGTCTGATCATATATAGATACAACTCTCTGAATTGTTGTATATGCTGTATAATGTTATCATACAAATTTAAGCATTTCAGTTACTGACTGCTGCTTGTGTATATATAGATTAACTTGCTGGTCATAAAATTACAATGAAAGACAGAGTACACCAATATTTAATTAAGACCACCAGTCTTTTCTCTCAAAAATTAAGAAAGCCAATGTTCTTTAGGTTTGTCCAACACATGATGTTGTGCTTCATATACACATTTTCTAAAATTAAACTGTGAAGTTTGTCAAATACTGTGTTGTAACTTTAAATATAGCTGACATATTGGAATAGATAGAGGGGTAATTATGATAAACTACACAACAGTGCTATTGTAGATAATATCATTTATCAATCCTGTGGTCCCCATCATTCATGCATTTACAGTTTGGGAATACAGTGACTGCAAAGAATAATAATTCATAATGGCTACATTCTCAATAGTTCATGCTAGCTCACTAGACAAAATAAAAAAGGTTAATTGTATAACTGGAAAAATGTAAATTTTATTCCAAGAAAATTAACAGGCTACACAGGTAAATTTTGGCAAATGCAACTTTATATTGAAATCCACACATCTGTATCTTAAAGAAGGAAAGACTCACAGACTCTAATGTATTTCTAAAATACTAAGAAATCATATATGCTTCCACAATTTAAAACTTAAATAATTTAAAACAACCAATACACCAAAATGTGCAGAAAATATAAACAAGACTGTGCCTTCAGTAGAATAAATGCTTCACAAATTGTGCAAGATATCATACTAAGGCTGCGGTCTCCCCATGACAGCTGTCTTAAAATATAAACATACATCAACTGCCTGTGTTTCTCAGAACAAACTAGAATGGGCAGCACACCTAGAAAAAAATCATATCATCCCAGTGATGTGCATACTGATTTTGGGAACCATGGGAGGGGAAAAAAAAGGAAATAGAGGATTACGTGATCTTTCATGCACTCCCAAATGACTGACCAGAGTTACTGATTCAATTTTCCTTGCTTATTTGCTTCAATGCTAAACAAAATGGAAGATACTAGATAACCCTTTAAGGCAACATGTGTTTATTCTGTATAATTATGACTGTTCAATTAGGACTGAATATTATCATTAACGTTGCCTAACAGACTGATATCTAGCTTTTTAAAAATATAAATTCGAGTCCAAGAAACTTTTTACCAAATCAGCAAAAACCACAGAATACAGTTACTGCTAGTAATTTCACTGTTAAGGAAAAATGGTATTTAGAAAGAGTATTATATTTGGGGGGAAAAATGGAAAGTCTAATCTGAACAAAAATACTGGTTTGGAATGCTCCCCAAAACTTACTCACAAGGCAAACAGATTTGTAAGTGTGATAATCCAATACTGCATGGCACATCTTTAATCAGTTACAGTACTTAAGAGTCCCCAATTTTCAGTCTTTGCAAAACAATAACTGTATGAAATGTTTTAAAGGTCTTCGGATGTCTAAAATTAGTTTTATCAACACATTAACCTCATATCAACTTAATTTATTAAGATGTCCAATGCTAATCTTTTTGATGGTCTTATTTTATGTAGTGATATACACAGCATTTAGCACTGATACTTAGCACCTGCTACTTTCATTATCTAGATTTCAACCACATAAAGGAATTCAGGGCAGTAGTTCAGTCC